TTAAGTGTTTTAATTGTTGAAAATCCAGAAATGCGTCATTGGAAATAGCAGTTACTTTACAGTAATCAAGCTTTATCGTTGTAATATTAAGCGTTTTAACCCTCTCAAATATCTTCCTTGTAACTGTAGTCAAGTTGTTTTGAGAAAGAATGATTTGTGTAATGTTGCTGCGCAAGGCCGGTACTTTTGTTATGTTCCGGTTGCTACAATCTGCAGTGACGTTATAGCAACGGCACGGAGAACACACATGTTCCTGTGCGGTTTGTTTGAAGAAGGATTCATTAACAGACAGAATAAGAACAGTAAACGTTACAAATGTCTGGAAACTCATGATTGCGGGTCGACTTTTGAGCGAATCCACTGCTGTTCTCCAATGGTATCGAGGACACCGCCTTGTTTTGACAACGTGTTTGCTAGCAATGGATTCACTGCAAATAAAAGAAGAGAGCATTGTACTTAATATCATTCCTTAATACTAATAATTGTAACAGTCTGTCTAGCTAAATGATCATCTACTACAAAGATCTAAAAATTAACTAAACATCATTATGGTTAAAACAAATTACAGATATGAAGATATTCGAAAATCCTGAAAATTTAACCAAAAAGAAACACTCTGTTTGCACAAATCTGGTTAATCAATTCATTTCACATAATGCTTGATCTGCAACACAGAAATAAGTTATCACCAATTTACCCTAATGATAATATTGAGATTCAAAACATATTCATGTCTATTCAAAAACTGTCTTTGAGTCCCGAAAGAACTTAAATACGGAGTGTCTTTGAATAATTAATTCGACTGTCTACCTCCGGAGCACCAGACCTTGATAATTGTTTAAAATAAAACGGAGTTCTTCACTAACACACTATTGTTATATTTATTGTTACCCTTTTGTTCTCAACTTAAACAGGCGTTACATTAGCCCAGTGCAATGGCAGATTAAATTGGGGGAAAGACATGAGCTGTGAAGAATTTTAGTCTACACTTAATCGGCAAGAGGCTGCGAAGTCTCTTGAACCAACCTATCATCTGATTGTAGGCAGATTGTAGAATGTCATAACCTCACCATTAAACCTGTATCATAAATGGTATCAGCGATTTAAAGAATATCACACAGTCTATAAAGTACAAAATACATGCATCAGCAAATCCTGTTACAATACTCACAGACGTGTTCTCAGGGTATTCGCCTGTCTGTCCCGTATACACAAATGATTGTCGCAAGTTAAAACCTCGGAATATATTTATGGGTCAAATTCAACTTCCTGGTTGGTGGGTATAAAATATGATTTTGAATTTGAAATTTCAGCACTGAAATTTCTCTTTTCTCACTACAGTACGAAATCCCAAATCTTTGACACTTACATATATGTGGGCCACAAATAGCTTTCACTTCCCCACTTATTTCCATCTATAATCCACCTACATACCCTAGTACTCATAATCCCCTCCATTTAACATGTACCAGAAATGGTATAAGCGATTTAAAGTATATCACATCTATTACAGAATATATAAATCAGCAAATTCTGTTACAATACTCACAGGCGTGTTCACATGGAATTCGCCTTTCTGTCACGTATGCACAAATGTATGTCGCAAGGAAAAACCTCGTTATTTATATTTGGGTCAAATCGAACTTCCTGGTTCATGCTACCGTTCCCTTTCTTAAGGGAGACAACCCCCACACATACCCTACACTTAGTAATCAAAGAATGAATATCCGTTGTATATATATACTGACGAAATACTGTATAAGTGTGCATACAATCTTAATCATTACATTTTAAACATGATATACACGTGTATTCTTTTTTCATCCTCAACCTGCTAGGGTGAAAAAATATAATAGAGGAAATAAGCAAACAATGATCAAAACCATACATTGCAAAACGGTTTTGAAACAATTTTGAGTTGAAAAAAATAAGTGAAAACAACAGTGTTCTGTGTGTGTAAAAAAGTTACTACACTAGATCAAATCAATTCAGAGGCACTCTTACTAATATAATTACTTTTTCCTCTCGCGCTTTAGTTATACTGTAAACGCAATGAAGGGCAATTTTCTGTATGTAGGGGCGGGGGCTGGGGAGGGGGATGGGGGACTACAGTCGAACTGTCTAACATACCACATTGCAATTGGACGGGGATTATTACTGGATAAAAATGTCACGCTTAAATGTTTCTATAATAGGTCACTACGGTAAGATTATACTATGAGTTTAAGTTAGGTTCGGTTGAGTTTGACCCGAGGTTCAGTCATGTATATATATATAAGTGTTGCGTATAAGAAAACAAACAACTCAACTGATTAAATTTAATACAGGGTACCAGTTTTTATTGCTCCCACAGATGTTTACATATCACACACATATATACTTATTTTACAAAGCCATGCCCCCTCTAGGACTTACCAATGGTTGAGTAGCTACATCAAAGGACGAGTGTTAAGGGGACCACCGCCAGGATGAAAGAATGAAAGATAGTAAATGATATAAAAGTAATCTGAAGTGTTGTAATGTGAGCAGCAGATCAATATTAGACTCTTTCATATCCCCCTTAAACAGTGATTTTAATAATCGTCTAGAACAAAGTAGTCATTGATAGCAAAAGGAACTAGGTCGTTCTCACGCGTATGAATACAATTCACACGAAACCAGCCAATCAACGTAGCGAAAGAGTTCAATTCGCGTGTGCTACAAAGAAAATTTATTTACTGAATTAACTTTACTGAATGTTGTTGTAATCACATGATACAATTAAGTTATATTAGACGACAACCTTTTCCCCCCAACATCCTCGTTCGTTGGATCATGTTCACATAGGGATCGAAGGTTTTGTAATTTTGATTCGAAGTTACTATTTTTGGAAACAGAAGGTCCATATTCACTATATGACGTCACTTTAATTGAAATGTCACAATGCTCTCTGTCAAACGCAACACCTTTTCTGTACAATTTTCATAGTTCTACTATGCACAAAACACTATTAAGCACCTATTATAGCATCCCAATTTATCAATTACGGACTTGGGAAAAATGTAGTTTTGACGGAAATGGAAAGTGATATTGACTGTTTTGGTCAATATCACTTTTGGACTCTTGCCATATAACAGCATATTCACCTCAGCAAATGTCCATATTTGATAAATAGGGGTATACTCCAACGATAACTATACAGATGGTAAAGTCATAACGATCGAAACAAATATTTTACAGACACATAAAACATAAACAAATGTAACTTTACCTAAAATAGATACGAAAAACGATATTAAAAGATATACATCACAAATATTGAATATATTACAAGAAAAATATCTACAGATTGATAGAAATGTTTTTTGTTAATTTTGTTCATAATTCATATTTAATACATTTATATAGATATACCCACAAACCAACATTACTGTTGAAAGGAAGCTTAATTAATTTCAAATAAAGATAACACACATCTGTTAATTATTTGGAAAGATAGTCACTACATAGAACCAGGAATATTTCTACGGTTTCTGAAGAAGGCGGAGAAGTCAACAATTTGAAGGTCGCTGTAGTTTGATATTGCATACATGAACTCTCTTAAGAATTTGATGTCCACATTCGTACCCGGTTGCTTCAGAAGATAGTTCGCTTTCAACCAATTTCACACGGTTTGTTCTTTAGCGCCTTCCTTGCAAAGATCATCATTTGTATGAGAACTTACTTGAGAGGAGTCAGGGGATATCACATTGATTCCCGTTATAATATTTTCAAAATATGAAATAGACGTTTCCTGTACTAAAATACATAAAATAATGAAATGAAAATAAACAAAATTACGTACAAATGAGATAAAGTTACAAAACCAAATATAATCAACACAAAGAGGTGGTCCGGAAATCTTCTAAAAAGTCTGATACATTTGGTTTTCGGTCCCGATCAGTGCGGCTTGTTAATAAGTCAGTACCGTGACCTACAACAATGGTGTTCGTCCAGCTGGGGTGTTCTGAACGATTTAAAACCGTAGACTCTACTGACGGAATTTAGCAGCTGATTATCCGGTGATAATAAGAGCGGATTTCGATCAATAAATAATCCCTTTATCGATATATGTGTGGTATTTGTTGTGTCGTAGTCTACATCTATCTATAAAATTGTCTAAGTCTGGTGTCAGGGTCAGAGGAAATTACCCTCTATTGCTATCGATTGGTGAATTTGGCTACGCCAGATCTAGTTTTGCAGTAGTAGCAGCAGGATGGAACAAGATGACTGTCTGCATCCACGCTGACATTCTATTCTGTAAACTTCGTAAATGCAAATTCTGAACTTTATAACCCACTCTTAAATGTTCAAGTCCGTTTAAATGAGCTGAAATAACAACTGTTGTGTAAGAAATACGAGTACATCACTGGAGGGCATCGAGAAGTTTCCGAAAGAATTCTGGTTGACGATTCCTATCATTTCCCCATTCTATATAGGTGATGGCGAGGAGGAGGTTCCGAATAGTATTATCGACGGGCCGGTGTCTAATGTCCTCCAGCATTATGATAACAACAGAGGATGCTCCCTCCGCTATAATCCTGTTGTAGGCGGTCGTTGCCTCGAAAAGGCACCACTCACTGTCCGCAAAGTCTTCAGAGAAAACCAATATCACTTTCCGGCTCACCTTCATATTGTTAACGATGTTGTCGGCAATGAAATTCCCGGGAAGGAAATCCCTTTCGTGGATACAAAGACGCAGCTTCCTCTGTTTCTCGAGGAAGGGCAGAAGATGGTTTATAACCCAGACTCTATTTTCCACGTGGTGAGCGACGAATGCGTCATACACAAATTCTTCGCCGTCTGGAAGACGGTCGTACGGTTGCAGAGAGCGGACGAGTAGCATTCTGTGTTTGATATGATAACGTCCTTTGTAAACAATGAAAGCTATCAGCAGGAACACACCTGCTAAACAGCCTAACCCGATCCCTATCACAACTAGCGCGCTTACAGCGGGTTGACATTCATATTTTTCCGGTTCAAATTGGGCAATAGTCTTTGTCTTCCATTCGTCAGGGTATAAACACTGGTACAACTCTGGATAATTTGTAGAAAGCTTGTTCCTGTTGTCATCTAACCAATCCTTAAACCATAACAGGTTACACGTGCATACAAATGGATTACTTGAAGCGGAAAAATATTTTAAATTATCCCAGATATGCTGAGGAAATGAGCTTTGGTTAAACACGGCGATTTGGTTTGCGGAGAGAATGATTTCTGTCAAAGGTTTATCACTGAAAATTTCGGGCTTCCACCCTTGTATATAATTACCAAGCATATCAAGTTTTGTCAAATGTTCCATTGTCGATAGAAAAGAAATGTCACGTACAATTCCACGTTTGATTTTAAAATCTTCCATTTTGACTAAACTCGAAAACATTTC